GTGATCGTTTTTCATGGCTTAGTGTTTTCGGCAAAACGTTGTATGTGAAAGTTCACAAATTTTGACGTAAAGCTATTTATGAGTTTACCACCTTTGTATAAACGGTAGGAAAATGTATTTAACCATTTCGTATTTTTAACACAAGTTTTCTTGTGTTTTACTTGTATTCCCCCCTAAAACATAGAAAATCTCGGAAAATGTAGGGGGTATGAACTCACCTCGAGTGTGTTCTTGGCTGGATAACGAAGTCATGGTGATGATCTTCAAGTTAGAATACTTGAAGGTGGTCGTATTCTATGAGTTTTTAACACACGATTATGTGTGTAAATTAGTTGAACTTAACATGACAGTGTTGTGTAAACACTAGAATTAACAAGGAAACTTACAACAGATTCTTAAAAATCAACTTGAAGAATTAGCTTCTTGGGGATGTTTGAACATTATTCTGGGAAAAGTGTATGAAGATTTGAAGATGTATGAAGTTGAACTCGTTTCTTTGAGAGAAAATGTAACAATTTTGAAGATGGAAGTGAGGATTGTGAGGAGTTTTCGGCCTATTAAATAGAAAGGCAGTGAGGGTGATGTGATGTTTGCCTTGGTTTGTGTAATATATCACATTACGAAAAGAATCCACCAATCAAGTTGCAACATCACCGAAATCACCATGCAATTTTGGCCAAGCACCACCGAAATCACATGTGATTTCGGCCTAATCACCACCGAAATCACATGGTGATCTCGGTTTAAGCACCAACCAAAATCACATGCGATTTCGGTCCAAGCACCAACCGAAGACACCATGATTTCGGTCCTAAACCACCTCAATGTCAAGGTTTTCGGTCCTAACTGAGAACCCTAAAAGCAAGGCATAAATTCATGCTTTATGTCCTAATTATTTGACTTTTGTTGACTTGTTTTACTTTTGTTGACCCAGAATAGTCAGTTGTCACATGTTTAGATTTAGAAAAATTAATTGGCTTGGAAAAATGTATAACAAATTTAAAAAAATTAATTAGATGGGGTGAATAACGACAATGAGCTTAACTTTTGCTTTTGGTTTTTCCCCTGTTTGTATTTCTTCTTGCATTAACTTTTCCAATTCTTCAAGCCTATTAGTTAGATTTAGATATGCCTACCAGTTTTAATTTTATAAACCTAACTAAAAATATCTAATGATGCACTTATAGGCAGTGTACCTAGTCAGTTTATAATATAGAAAAGTAAGTCGGATATCGAACTTAGGGAACAATATTTAGCTAATAAAATAACTACTAAAAATTAATCAAAAAACAATAACTGAAATTGGGGGGAGGGGGGGTATCTGATTTTTCAAGTTCAAACATGATCAATCTAATGCAAACCAACAGTGTTGTGTGAATTCTTGCTACAATCTTCTTCTCCTTCCAAGGGTTAATTTTCACAGCTTCTTATCCTAAAAGTCGACTAAAATCTCAAGGATACCTATCAAATCCTTTTTTAAATCGATCTAACAAAAGATATATATATATATATATATATATATATATATATATATATATATATATAGTTTCAATAAAACGCTCTTCACGTTGCGACCAATATGGTGTCACGGCGTGCGTTCAGTACATATCCGTATTCGACATGAAAACTTGCTACTCCGCTTATAAGGATCTTTTAGGACATCTCTCACGAGGTGAATAGTAATGGCTCACGTTGTGAGCTTCTATTTCACGTATAGTATCGAGATCTTTCCTGATGTCACGCCCAGTAATTTAGATCACCACGTCATGGGAAGTGTATTTGCATGATCTTCCCTTCTTTTGAGCTCCAATTTCATATCCAGCCCTCCAAGTATCCATCTTTTGTCATTTTCAGTCCTTTTTCTTCAAGAATGCCCTTTTTTTGCTGTGAAATACAATTTAACTCAATAATTACCAAATATCTTTGCATTTTACCAATATATAACTTAAAATGTTTTAAAACAATGCCTAAATATATGCATAAATAATGTAATATCAAAATACCCCACACTTGTCTTTTGCTAGACCTTAAGAAATACTTTATTTAATATATCACATATAACCATGCCCACCGACTATACAAGACAATCTAAATTGAACCTACTAACTATGTGTCACCTCAATGCATGTATTTGTGTGTAAAGCCGAAGTACCTGTAACATCCTGTTTCGAGAAGGTTTTTATTTAGGGATTATGGATAATAAATGGATCAAATAGAGGCCTTTGGTATTAAGAGAATAGGGTTTACAGCTAATTGGATGTGGATAATATTTGGTTATGTGTTCCAAGCTCTTGGTTTGTGTTTTGGAGTCAAAGTGTAAAATAGGAAAAATGATGTTGCAAACTTCTTTCATGAATTAGGGATTTTAGTTTGGTGTTTTTTAAGTCAAATGCAATTAGATAGAGTTTTGGGGATCTTAAATACCTTTTCGTGCATACAAAGAATGTCGAAAACGGAGTTGAAACGAAAAAGTTAAGATTGTTTGAAGTTGGAGTGAAATCGGGTGAAAACCTGTTCTCATGGGGTGAGAAGTAATTCTCAAGAAGTGAGAGTCCTCACGAGGTGAGAATATATTCTCACGACATGAGAACTGTGTAGCCCAAAGCCCATGAAAGTTCTATGGTTTTCAAGGTAGTTAAAGGTAAGGATTCATGTTTTAGGGTATTTTCTTAACCTTCGTCATATCTAGAACCTCTTGGGAGAAACCCTAACCTCCATTTTCAAGATTTGAGCCTCCCATCTCCTCTCTCATCTATTTTTGGAGTTTTATTTTTGGTGGTTTTGGAGCAATGTTTTAATGCAAGTTTGATCCTTGAAGCTTGTCAATTGAAGATCTCAACATTCATCTACCTTCTAGACCTTTGTAAGTTATAAAGTTCCATGTTTTATTGCATTTCATCTTTGGATCTAAGTGTATTTGGTGTTCTCGTCGATTTTAACGAGTTTTAACTGAGAGTTTGGAATAAAGTTTGCAACTTTATTACTCTCCAAGGTCCCAAGAACAATGCATGTTTTAGATCTGGACTCCAACACCTTTTCATAAGTTTAGAATGTTTTCTTGGACCTCTTGGACTAGGAAAGTTTTGATCTTCTGCCTTCCCGTTCAACTATGCAAGTTATCTCGGTCATTTAGGTCATTTTGGGGTATTAAAGCTTAGATCTTGAAAGCTTGAGGCATTATTATGGATAAAGTTAGATACTTTATCCATTCATACATCATGTTTATTCAGATCTTATGGTTGGAGACTTAGACTTAATGGATTTAGCTGAGAAAGGTGCATTATTGGTTCCTTTGAGACTTAAAGGTTAGATTTTGGTCGTTTGGAGCATCCTAATTGATAAAGTTAGAAACTTTATCCATTATGAAGCTACTTAAGAACTATATATGAGGTTATTGGACTTGGTCTAAACAGATTAAGCACTTAATGAGGATTTTGGCCTTCTGACCAGAATTCACGACGTGACATAGGATGAGTAACGACGTGGTGGAGCCCAAAATCGCGATTGTTTTGTCGTTTCATTCTCACGACGTGATGTTGACTTTGACAAAGTTGACCGATGACTTTTTGACCAGTTTGACTTTTGGGAAAACTTGGGTACAATTGAGTACTTGACTAAGGATTGGTCTTGATATGGTTTTAGGAAGTTTGGGTTGACTGTTCTGATGGTGAGGTAGTTTTTGGGCTTCTGTTGAGTAGCTCAGGTGAGTCTCCTCACTATACTTGCATGTGTGGTAGTATATACATGCTGACCAGCTGGTTCTTATTTGTTGTTACTGTAATATGTGTTACTATGTGTACTGAGACTTCGGGTAGTCTCCAGAGTTGCTGATAACCCACATGACATGTTGCTTTCCCACTAAGACTTCGCGTAGTCTTTAGGGTTGATGATAACCCACAGGGCATGTTGTTTTCCCACTGAAACTTCGAGTAGTCTCTAGGGTTGCTAATAACTCATAGCTGTTATTTTTGTTGTGTTGTATGTGATATTTGGGGTATGCACTAAACTTTGTGCTTATGTTTATGGATTAATTATTTTGCAGGTACATATTGGCTTGCGAAGGCATCACCGTATACACACATCAACAAATGACGATTTGAGATTCTGCATTATCTTCTTATTAACTATAATTTCAAAATAATGGTTTATGAATAAATGGTTGTAACTTTATTATGAATGGATGTTATATTAATCTAAAAATGAAAAAAATAGCCCACGGTTTTTGGAATGTTTCAAGTTGGTATCGAAGCCCTGCTTTGAAGGATTTGTATGAACACTCGTGGTATTCTAAACTCAAACTATGGAACTGAGAATTTTACTAAACATTTTTCAAAAAGGTTAAAATTGAAAATTTGTACATAGTCTGTACAAAAGAAATAAAAGCTACAGTTTTAAAATTTAAAGATATAAAATGAAAATGTAATAAAAGTGTAAGGGTGAAAGTTGTAACTTAAAAAAGTTAGAAAATGTAAATTATATAAAAGAACGGATGAATTGATACCCATTTATAATACACCTTTTTTTCCAAATGGGTGTGGGACCGTCTGTTGTGCCCATAAATAGGCCACACTCCCCTTGACAAAGTCACAGAATACTAAATTCCCTTAGGACTTCTCCACGCTTTCAATTTGACCAGAATCTTTTCATTTCCTGATATCCTCACAGTGTCAACATGGGTTCCGTCCACGAAGAGGCCAATTTGGTCGAGAAAGTGTGTGAGATTTATGACAAAATCTCCATGCTTGAAACGCTCAAACCCTCTAAAGACGTCGACAGTCTCTTCAGCCAGCTCGTCCTCACATGCATTCCACCATCTTCTATCAACATAGCCACTCTTCCAGAAAATATTCAGGAAACAAGGTCTAAGCTCATTAGACTTTGTGGTGAGGCTGAGGGCCATTTAGAGGCCCATTTCTCTACTCTTTTAGCCACTTTCCCTAACCCTCTTCACCATCTCAACGCCTTCCCTTACTATTCAAACTACATCAAGCTTAGTCGTCTTGAATTTGACATCCTCAACCGACACTACTCCACAGAACCCGGTGTCGTACCGAAGAGTGTTGCTTTTGTGGGATCTGGCCCTTTACCTCTCACCTCGATTATCTTAGCTTCTAATCATTTAACGAACACATGTTTTCATAACTATGACATTGATCATGCAGCGAATTCCATGGCCTCTAGCCTGGTTTCGCCTGATCCTGATTTGTCTGAACGGATGTTCTTCCACTCAACTAATATAATGGAGGTGAAGGAGGAATTGAAGGACTATGATGTGGTTTTCTTGGCTGCACTAGTGGGGATGGATATCAATGAAAAGGTTAAAGTGATCCAACATCTGGCTAAGTACATGGCGCCTGGAACCATCTTGATGCTGAGGAGTGCTCATGGTGCTCGTGCTTTTCTTTACCCCGTTGTGGAACCAGAAGATCTTCAAGGGTTTGAGGTTTTGTCAATCTTCCATCCTCATGATGAAGTAATTAACTCGGTTGTGATCGCACGTAAGTATCCAGCACCAATGGAAGTCGATCATAATCATCATCAAGAGTTGGGGATTGGATCATTCATGCCTTCTAGTTGCAAGTACTGTGATTTCCAAGCTTTTAACAATCCGCTCAACCAGATGAACATAATTGAGGAATTGGCATTGGACGAGTAGAGCAACTCTCTCTCTCTCTCTCTCTCTCTCTCTCTCTACAAAAAATCACTTTATAATTTCCCAAATCAGATTGGTATGTTGTTAGCTAGATCAACATGCATACATATGTATAGCATGTGTTGCTTTTGGGTTTGAGTCAGTTTTCTGTGAACTCCAACATTGGAGAAATAAAGAACCTTAAAATTATGTTATTAATGTCAATGTTTTGGGTCCGTGGTTTAGTTTCTTCTGCTTTGATAACTGTTTATACATTTCGATTTTGCACATTTATTACAAATTATAGCACGAGGTTCTTATCAAAGCTTGCGAAGGGATTGGATACTCCATAGTCCATTAGGCCATACAAAACTATTTTTTCTTAGTTTAACGAAAGAGAAATCGATATGAATTCATTGCTTTTGATTATTGTTGGATAATACTATATTATTGAATAACTTAAAAATGAAGTCATTAATAAAACATCATCTGTTATAAATCTTGCTCTTTAATTAGTGGACATTCTATCTCAAAAAAAGAAAAACCAACTTTTAGTTTTCCAACAAGCATCTATAGAATAGCTGTCAGCATATAGCGTGGAAATCGACAGAAATATATACGATAGTAGACGTAGATGAAATACAGCCAAAGGATACAAATAGTTTAGAACAATATTAGTTCAACGCAAAATAGAATTGATAGATCAACTTAATCAACCACCAATAAATTATCAAAGCATAAAATAAATAAAAGAGACATGGAATTAGGAAAAACTAGGCTAGAAGAAGCAGCAAACGAATCCACTATAAACTCAAAGTGTTCATAGAATTTGAGAAAAATAATATTACAATAAGGTTTAGGACAAATAACAGAAAAGTCTCAATTTTTACATGCATAGTTGTTAAACTTATTTTTTTTCTTTGGTTGGTCAAAATCATAAGTTTTCTGATAATCTACCATTTTTAACCTATTATAGTCATTCATGATGTTTTTTTTAAATGAAAGGTTTTCAGAAAATTTATAGTTTTTACCTAAAAAATAGCATTTTTCTCCAACCAAGTGTGTAAAACTTGCGACTTTTTTGGTATTTTATACAAAAAAATATGTTTTCTAAAATATATGTATAAGAATAAGATTTTTATATATAATATGGACTTTTATATATAACTACAATACGTATAAATAAAATACATACAAAAGACAATTTATATATTAAATACGATGTTATACATACACAAGCACATAAAAATACATTGTTAATAAATAAAAAACATTTTTTACATATAAAAATAAGTAAAATACCTATTTTATTCATATAAAGTAGACAAAAATAAATAATTAGTTACTGTGGTTTGCAAAATATCTCACTTTGAGAACTTTCAAGGAAAACGTCACGCTATAGATCCTTGTGATTTGCAAAATTACATGAAATGTTCTCTTCTCGTTAAATCTAACTTTTCAGCTGTTAGATTTTAATGAAAAATATTATTTTACACTTGTACCAAATTTGAAATATACTACAAATCTCAATGACCATTTCTGTAATTTTGTAAATTTGAAATTATATATATATATATA